GCAGATACACTGCGGTTTCTCTGCAATCAGATAAATCTGAAAGTCTGTTTCGACCCATGCATCTAAATTACACAGAGAATGGACAGATTCAGTGTCCTTCACCACAACCACGGCTGAACCATATACAGCCTGCTGAAATATAATCTATCTCAATGGACGACTATGCAAACTGATTCTTCCAAAATCTTTCTGTCCTGATTGCAGTTTTGGCTGTTGAAAGTTTGTTAGTTTAACTTCAAATTGTGTTAATTGGTTGTCATATTTGTTGTTGTTTATAATGGACTAAAATCTGTTGACTACCAGAAACGTTTTTTTTCCCTCATTACATTGGCTTGGCTTTTTTGTTTTGAACTCTAGCTGCCAGTGCAATAGCTGCACTGGCAGCAATTGTCTATTAAAGTATACAATGTCTATTTTTTTCCTGGTAAATAACAACCACAAAGGCTGTTTGTATCATAAAACACCACAAGCCTCTCGTTAATTTCCAAATAAATGGCTGAAGAACTGAGCTGTACAGAAGAAAAGAAAGATCAGATGGAGACTGTGAACTGAACTACCGTTAGGACAGTCAGTAAAATGATTGGTTTAAGATAAAATTTTACTTTAAAATATTTAGAGGGAAAAGTACTTTTATCAGACTCTAAAAAGTTATTTCTTGACCATTTACGTTGAAGCAACTAAATAACGGCGGTAATAACCGTTTTTACTGCTCTGGTTTCTTTCCATGGCTTTAGGCGCTGCACTTTAATATGCATTACTAAACTGCAGCAGTTGTATATTATCCACATTAAGCATCGCATATATTTCAGAAACCTGTGCTGTCTGCCATTTACATTCTGCTCTAATGTCTGTACAGGATGCACTTTAGGCCTTCTGCTGAAGTTGGCTTCATTTCTGTAATTGTTTCTAGTGAGACAATGAGCCATGACGGATTCTAGGAAGAGTGAAGAATCAAATGTCACGGAGGGAACAGAATATTTACATGTGCATGTGCTGGGCAGTCTGAGTGATGAGGCAATTACCTTATAACAACCACTGGAAGGCAAGGCACCGGGAGTGAGGGGGTTAATAGATAAGAGAAACCTGCCAATTCTGCTAATGAAGTTCAATATGATCTCCCTCACAGATTAGAGCACAGCTACGTCCCAGGATTCTTCAGTGTCAGCTCCACAAAATGCAATAAGCCCCACAGTTCACCGCAGATAAAGACAAATACCAATCAGACTGCAGGTGAGAAGAAAACCTTTCAGCCTGTTCCAATCGAGTGGAGGTGTTTTTTTGTTTTTCTCTCTGTCCATGGTCAAGCAAATAGGTTCCAAATGTCAATATCGCATTTATTCTGTCAAACTAATGAACTTATCTAGCACCCATAGAAATATTTGTGTGCAA